CAGTGATTCTTGACCTGAGAGCAAAGGCACATGGCACGTTTAAGGGCCAGGCACCACAATGATTTGCCTAGCTTCTGAAAACTTTAACAGGGAATAAAACCTACGATGGTTGATGGATGATTGCCCTAGGGTTAAACAGTTCTTAAAGTCTTCTCTGCTGTGGCTGGCTCGTTGGTGCTCTTGCGCGTGGGGGGGGGGTAGGCCTCAATGGAGATGCAGATGACATCCCTCTTTCAGGTGGGTCTTCAGTGAATGCTGCCTCCCTCAGGCAACAACATCTCTTTAATGGAGTTCTAGTATGGCACTGTGGGACAATGAACTGGAGCAAGGTCGGTTTGAACCACAAGGTCAGTGCTTCAAACTCACTAGCCATTCCTTAGAAACCCTATACAGGGTCTCTATGGGTCAGAACTGACTTGACAGTAGTTAACAACAACAACAACAAATCATTACAGGAGCCTCCTCTTTCTCTCTCAGAGTGCTGATTGGTTTGAACTACCGACCTTGCAGTTAGCAGTCCAATGCTTATCCTACCAGAACTCGGACTTTTCCACGATTATCGACTAATACAGTAACGGCACTCTGGGAGAGAAAGAGGAGAATCTTGTAAATACTTGTTGTTGTAAAGATTTGTTGTTGTTGTTCTTAAGTGCAGCCAAGTTGATTCTGACTCCTAGAGACCCTGTAAAGTTTCCAAGGAGCAGCTGGTGTATTTGAACTGCAAATCTCTTGGTGAACAGTCCAGTGCTTAACCTACAGTGAAACACCAGGAATTTAGCCTTAAAAACCCTATACTTAACAGTCTAGTACTTAACCTACAGCGACACACCAGGACTCTAGCCTTGAACACCCTATACAGGGTCACTGAATGGGAATTAACTTGATGGCATGGGGTTTGTTTTGTTTTGTGCCCTGGTGGCACAGTGGTAAGTGCTTGACCAACCAAAAGATTGGTGGTCCAAACCCACCCAGTATCTCTGGGCGAACGACCTCACAGTCTGCTCCTGTAAAGATTATAGCCTAGAAAACCATACCGGGCAGTGCTTCTCTGTCACTTGGGGTCACTCTGAGTCAACAATCAACATGACAGCAGCTCACAACAGTGAAAAATTAGAAGCTTAAGGGATAACTAATCAGTTAGCAAATAAAAACTTATTATACAGCCATTACTGGTGCAACACAAAATGTGTAACTATTGTGGAAGCAGGCAGTTCCCCAAAAAGGTAAACATAGAACTATCATATGTCCCAGGAATCACAATCCTAAAGAACTGAAAGCAGCAAAATGCAAACAGAATCTATATACTAATCTTTATTGCAGTGGTCTTCACACAAGCCACAAAGGTAGAAACAACCTAATGTCCATTAACAGCTGAATGGATGAACTACATGTGGCATAGACATACAATGGAAACTTCATCCTATAGAGAAAAGACTACCTGATGCCAGCTCAATATGGAAAAACCTTAAAAACCTTATGCTGAGTGAACTGTCAGTCATTTCACTCTGCATAGGGGATAGTACAGTATAGGAAATAGGCAAATGTATAGAGACCAAAGTTTATTAATAGACACAAGAGTGTGGCATTGTAGGATAAGCACTGGACTGCTAACTGAAAGGTCGATGATTCAAACCCACTTTCCACTCCTTTAAACCCTATATAGGTTCACTATGATTCAAAAATGACTCTTGGGCACTAAACAATAACAAAGAGACAGGCAGAAGAGAAGGGAAGGAGAGTCGGTGCTTAGAGGGCACTGAGCTTTGTTAATGGTGGTGAAAACATTTGGAAAACTATAATGGTAATGGTTGCACAACGTAATGAATTGTGACTGAGTTATACATGTGAAAATTGTTCCATTTGCAAACGTTTTGTTATA